AAGCCTCCACACAACAAGTTGCATTTGCTTTTTGTCAAGTATATCATCCATTTTGAATCCTCAAAAGTACCATTTAATGATCAACAATGTTTAAGTGATCCGCGTTGACCAAAAGTGTTGTAGATCCATTAGAGGATTGGTAGAACCAAAGCTTCTACACAATGAATCTCAAGGTTATTGGATCGAAGAGATCAAATTAACATACTTGGGCTTGCAAACATAGGTTTGGGCCATGAATGATCATTTATTCGAATCGGGACAAAATTTAACGCTATGTTAAGCAATCGTAAGTGGACTTATATAGAAGTCACACCTATTTTGAGGCCGGTCAATAACAATCTATGCACCATTTATTTTGAGACATGATATAGAGATCATGCTCCAATAACACTTAGTGCAATAAGAAAGGGATGAGATGAAGAGGGGTGGGAGAGAATATACAAACCACATTTGAATTAAATTTTAATAAAACTATTATTAAAACCATTCATCCATTTTTGTGGAGTTAGACTCAACACCATGGATTCAATGATGTTAATAAAGTTCATGATCGAAAATTTAACCCAAGATCAGCCAGAAAATAATCATAAAATAATATTGCATTTAATATATACATTAAAAAGGGGTTTTAAAAATGTTTTAAAATAGAAATAAAAGAGAAAAATATTAACCATGTTCAAATTAATCAAGAAATATTAAGTAAGACCATAGAAAAATAAAAAATGAACTCAAATATTTTTATAAAATTTTTGGTAATTTTTTAAAGTCAGAAACTATTTTTAAAATTAAAAAGAAATGAGTAAAATAAACCAAAAATGATAAAGAAATAACGTCAGAAAAATAAATAAATGAGGTCACCAATATTTGTCACAATATCATTGGATCATTTCATATTTTTTTCAGAATTTAAAAATGCATAAAAGTATTTTTAAACATTTAAAACAATTCAAATAAAGTGAAAATTTATAAAAAAATATCAAAACACAAAATAAAATTGTGAAAAAATAAAAATCAGAAAGAGAAAAATCAAAAATATTTTTCATAATTTTTTCAGATTTTTTGGACTTATAATGAATTTTCTATGATTTTTTGAAATTTAAAACAATTAAATATAAAAATCAGAAAAGAAATTAAAAACCAAAAAGATGTGGACCAATGGATGAGAGTCAAAACGCGTTAGTAATCAAATCCAAGGGATCTGGTGCACTGTGCATATCATGGTCATTACTAAATATCACATCAGATCCAACATTTTTAAAATAAAACAACTTAAAATGTGGCGCGTTGGATGAAGTCTGACTCACAAAAGTAATCAGGTCCAAGGGCTCCTGAGGCACGCGCATGGTAAGGCAAGCATATTGTATCCATTTCAAAAAAATAACGTGGCTTCATGTCATTGGTTGAAGACGGACATGTCATCGTCTTCAACCTCCAGCCATCCCCAAATTGAATCCTTCAAACTTTAAAATTAGCAAACCAGACTGGTACCATTAGATTCGTCTCTTCAAGACGATTCTAATGGTACCATCGCGCTAAATTTATATAAATTATGCAAGGATGTGTTTGAAGAAAACCAGAAAAAATAGCGAGCACGAAAATCTGGGATATCTCACTCAATTCTCAATGAAATTGCAAACTGAACGAAGTAGTGAGAAGTTGCTCTGAAATTGGACTTCTACGTATCAATATAGCTCACAATTCTTGAAGGTAATTGTATGGTTAGCTTCAGATAAGTTCAATGAAGCTAACTGAATGGAGCTTTTGGTGTTTGAAGGTGAGAATGTAAGAAATCAGAATTTCAAATTCAGAATTCGTGTGGGATATGAACATGAGTTAATTGGATATCAAAAGCTTGCTAAAATGAGTGAGGGATGATCCTTATTTATAGATGATCATGATGCAAGGCTCAAGCGTGTGAATTGGAGGCAAAATCAGCGAAATCGTGTGGACCTGCTAAGTGTGAAAAGTGTGACTTCACATGGCTCAAAACGCAGCAAAATGAATGGTTTAAGGGTCGTTTCTTGTTATGGCAAGTTCCTAAACCTGATTAGACACGAAATTGGTCTTTAAACAGGCTTGTAATTGGTTTTAAACCAATTTTCAAATCTGACTGAACTTGGAATTTCCATTTTATGATGCTACTTTCATAACCATGGTGCCAACAATGTAGGACAACATTTGATGTGATTTTTGAAGCATTTGAAAGATGAAGTCACAAACTTTATAATGTGCTAGTAGTGAGATCAATTAGATGTTTGAGAAAGAAGTTGTATTGAGTCAAAGTTGGAAGAAAATGGTTGACTTTCCATACTTAGAAATATTTCAAGTTTTTCTTCAAAAGTGACCTATAATATTTTGTATCCAAACATGGCTTTCCTCTTGGAATTTTCTCTTGACCAAAAAAGATGGAATGAAATATACCTCTTGAATGTCATTTTGAAACTTGAACCATTTAAAATCTCCAAAAATTGAGAGAGTTATGAATTTTTGAAGTTGGCAAAAGATCATGAAATGACCTATAATCTTTTATATCATTAGGGCATCTTCCATCCATTTTCTCACTTTGCACATAAAATAAGGAATAAATTTCACATCCTCAAGATCATTGTGGAAAAAGAGTGGGCTCAAGGTGATAAAAATTGACCAATTTATGATCATTTGAAGTCACGCGTGAGAAATTGGGGGTTCATCTGGAGGACTTGTAATCTTTCTTCATCATCAAGCTTCTTCCACATGAAAACTCCTTGAAACTTTTGAAGTGATTTGTTAATAACATTTTTAAGAGAAGGATATCTTTGGAATCACTCCAAAATACCAAAATATGAGCAAGATATACTTCTTTGAAGTTCAAAACCCTAGCTCCTAGATCAAGAAAATGCATTGAGGAACTTTGGCAATTTTGAACAAACTTCTTGTACCAACACTTTTGCTTTTTAAATAGAAGTTGTTGAGGATGATAATGAGAACTCATATCCACTAAAACCACTTCCATATCTTGAGAATTGAGAGAAATATGCACTTGTGACCAATGGGAGCAAGGCCTTGTCCAACCATGACAACTTCTTCAATCAACCCCTTGTACTTTTGAATCAATTTTGATAACTTTGAAATGTGGTGAATCAAAATAACCTTGCCATTTCATTTATTCCAAAACAACTCCAATGGTGAGGTTTGAACTTCTCAAGCTTTATTGACTAGGGCATGGAAATAAACTCATGAATCCATGGATCAACTTGCTAAGCCACATTGCCTTTACCTACATTATTAACAAGTAAGACAAACCAACATTGTATTTTATTAATTAAAAGAAAAGTCAAAACAAAACATGCATGATCACAAAAGAAAAACAAGTCAAGGTGCTTGGTGATTCCTCAAAGAGCAATACTAGAGATAGGGAGGAGAACCAAAAGCCCTGATGTGATCTTGTTGTGATTGAATCAATATGGTATGATGTAGGGATCTTAGGGGCAAAAATTGAGGTACAACAGGGGGACAATTTGTTAGCTGGAAATTTCAATAATAGAGTATAAAGGACCAAAAGTCAAAGACTAAGTTATTGTTGAGAGAGATATCTTATGAAAGCTCCAACTGTTTGTTTTCTAAATGGACGGTCGAAAATCAAACTACATGGAAGATTAAAGGAATTCTTTGTGTTAAAGGAATGTGAAGTATTTGAAATTCGGATTCAAATAATCCTATTGGGATTTGGCGCTCTCTGTAATAGAAGGATTCGAAATTCAAAGTCCTTTAAATCCTACCCAGAAGACGCGTGGAGGTCTGATATTTCGAAGAGCTTGCATGTCACGAATGTGGCATCTAGATGTAGAGAGACCGTTAAGGTCGAATTAGTGTATATATATATATATATATATATATATATATATATATATATATATATATATATATATATATATATATATATATATATATATATATATATATATATATATATAGGAGTCTCAGTGATAGAATTTAATGTGTTCATTTGTTTGTACAAAATCTCACATAAACTCAAAATATTTACGTGCTGAGAAAAGAGTGCTATGAGAAATGTACGTGTAAACACCATCTTTTATTTTAATACAAGTTATTATTCCATAATTTACTTTTAGCAATTTACTTTCAACTCCATTTATTGTAATTTCTTTACAAGTTTTCGTAAGTCTACTTTGAAGACTCACTTAGATCGAAACCAATATTATCAAAGAACTATGAATACTATCGAAGTATTCTTCGTTTCAAATAACAAAATTTAAATAAGAACACATGTCATATGATCAATCTAGTCAATCTTGCAAGTAACTAAAGATTTTTTTTTCGTTTTTAGATGACTAACACTTGTTTACCAATTTTCACGGTAAACACGTTATTATCACAACTGGTGGGTGTTTGAATGGAGGAGGTCGTGTGAAAAGATGGGGTCTTGTAGGTAGAAGTGGGTCGCCGGTAAAAATATTTTTTATCATTGTGTAACTTATTCATTCAAGTAAATTAAAAATTTAAAACAACTGAGTAGTCATACTGAATAGCTACTCCTCTTAAATAATATATATATATATATATATATATATATATATATATATATATATATATATATATATATATATATATATATATATATATATATATATATATATATATATATATATATATATATATATATATACCACACTGCATATAATCACAAGCTATATAGTGTAGCACCTCCTCTTATTTTTATATGAAATCACCACATATAATAACTACTATTATGTGTGACGATTTTTTTTAAAGTAGTTAGTTTAAAAATTTATTTGAAAGAGTTGTTATTTAAGATTTTTTTTAAAAAAAACTGATTTTTCAAAATAAATTATTAAGTTAAATATAAATTATGTAAATATTTGATATTTAACTAAATATATAGATAATTTATATTTATTTGATATGATTTGATTGAATATAAAAGCAAATTCAGAGTCACAACACAACAATTGATCTGACAAACCCTAGCTTTAAGAAAAATGCATCAGAAATCATTCCAAATCCTGGTTCAATCGCCAGACCTTCAGATTTACCCTAAATCCATCACCGGCGATCAAACCCTCTCTGACCTAAAACGTTCCCTCTTCCCCAATTCATCATCCTTCTACTTCACCCTCCATGGAAAACCTATCCCCGACGATTCAACTTTCTCCCAATCCCGAATCGCGCCTCTTTCCACCCTCGTCCTCCAATCACGCCTCCTCGGCGGAGGAGGAGATGGCGGAGCTACGGGTGCTGAGTCGCGCGACTGTTACCTTAAAATGTACGCTGAGAAGAAGCCGGACAAAGTGGATCCCAACGAACAGAGGCTCTCGAAGTGGCAGAATTGTGCGCTATCGAATGAACCGTTGAGGGAGCCTTGTGTGATTGATAAGCTTGGGAATATCTTCAACAAGGAAGCGTTGGTGGAGGCTTTGTTAGGTAAGAAGCTTCCTAAGGAGTTTGGGTATATTAAGGGTTTGAAAGATATGATAAAAATTAAGCTTTCGTCTATTCCGGGTGAGGATGACGGGGTTAAGTTTCGGTGTCCGGTTGCAGGGCTGGAGTTTAATGGAAAGTATAGGTTCTTTGCTTTGAGGAATTGTGGGCATGTTTTGAGTTCAAAGGCTTTGAAGGAGGTTAAGTCTTCGGCTTGTTTGGTTTGTCATGAGGAGTTTGGTGAGGGTGATAAGATTGTGATCAATGGGAATGAAGAGGAAGTGGAGGTTTTGAGGGAGAGGATGGAGGAGGAGAAAGCCAAGGTTAGGGAGAAGAAAACCAAGAAGGTCAAGAATAGTGATAGTGAGGGTTTGAATGGTTTGGGTTTAGAAGGGTCAAAGTTGAGTGGTACTAAGCATGGTATGGATGTGGAGAAGGCTTCAGCTAAGGTGGATAGAAATGGGAAGGTTGCTAATGGTAATAAAAATGTCAATGGTGGTGCAGCTGCGGCTAAGCGGTTTAAGGCGACTGATATTGCCCCGGCAAATGCTACCGAGGTCTATGCCTCTATTTTTACTTCTTCTAGGAAATCTGATTTTAAAGAAACATATTCTTGCAGGTCTCTTCCTCTTGGTAGGAACTAACTGTTGTGTATCGTATACAAGTTTGTACTGGTTTATTCGTGTTCAATTGAATGTATTCAATTTTAGTTTGTTATTATAGCTCTTCCTCTGATGATGTGGTTGCTGGTTTAAATCATGGCAGATTGTATCATTAATCTATCTTACTTAAGAAAGGGGTTTTGTTAATAATAAATTATTATTAGTTTGTTATTATATGTTATTGTGTATGGAATGAATATACGATGTATTTATTTGGTTATGCTTTCTGTTTTCCACTGTGGTGTGTTGTTGAGGAAATAAAAGGCATAGTTTGTTTGCTAATGGTGATATGTATTAAGGTTCATCTTCATAGCATTGTGTCATATTTATCTATGTGAGCCATATCATCTAAGTTAAGGGTTGATTGGTTGAGTCTGGTATATTTGGGTTTGTTACAGGTTTGTGGTATCCATAGAACTGATGCTAGTGTACTGCTACCCAATCTTACTTTACATATTGAAGAATGTCATTCAGCCTGAACATATCTCTTCTACTTCAGGGATTTGATAAAATAGTAGGATAGTTTTCATGTTCAAATATTCCTAGGAAAATGAGTATCAAATGTATAGCTGAGAAGTGATGCTTTTATCATCTACAAAATTAAACTAACTTCTTGACTGTCACAGTTAGTTATAGTAGTAATAATGCTCCATTCGCTTTCATACATTATTGATTATAACTCCCATGATATATCTCTAGGCATTGGATACTCATAGCAGGTGATGCTATTGTATTTGTGTTTTTGGTCTTGTCACTCTTTATTGACATTGTAAATCTTTAAGTTGATTTTTCTCTGCAAAGATGAGTTATATTGTGGATGAAGGGAATACTATAGTGATTCTTTGAACAATCATGATGATGAAGCTCAATCATTGACACTGTAAAAATACATAAATTGAGTTGTTTTTCTTTCTAAGATGACCATTATTGTGGATGGAGGGAACCATGATTATTGGTGTTATATGAAACTGATTAGAACAGTTTTGACAATTAATCAGATAGAAGTTATGGCTTTTAAATGGTTAGCAAATTGTCTTAAGCCAATAGAAAATTGGAATGAGTAGAACACACTTGTTTTCTTTACCTTTTTCTTCTCAGTCTCTTGTTATTACATTAGAACAATCAATAACTCGCACTCGAGAATGCAAATGCACTTGCTATTTCCACCTTTTAATTATAGTTTTTACACTTTTGAACGGGAAGAAAGGGTTAGCAACTTTGAATCTCCTTTTTGTTACTAGTTCCCAGCTTATATGTTCCTAAACATGTAGATGAAAACCTTCTTGGCATCTCCCATTCTGTGTTAAATGAGCTACTCGAAAGCATATGAGCTATAAGAATTATCATTCTTGATTTTTGAGGAAAGAGCGATGTCGGCTTACATGAGTCATATGACACTTTTATCTTGTGAGTCCTAACTCCTTTTATCTACTACACAAATATCTAATTAAGATTTAAACAGAGATGTGCACTGAATCTCTACTTCTCTATGTTATGTAAATTCGAAGGCAAGTATAAATTTTTTTTACAAAAAATGCAACTCAAATTTTATAAAAAAAAATGCAACTCGATATACCATGTCACACAAGAAGTTTGAACAATAGATGAAATCAACGAAAGTGTCTAGTTGAACTCGTTGTTAGTCCTTGTAATAGAATGTATGTCAACCTAAAAAAGATCAACGAATAATATATGAAACTTGAACATACAATTTCACAAGTCATCATCAGGTGTTTCTTTCACAACGGATTTCTATTTACAGCACATAGAAGAGGTCATTGCTCAGTTCCGTTTTAAAAGAAAATCAAATAACACAACAAGGTGATAAAAATACTCTTCCCTTACCCTTTCCTCTCCGAATAACAGATACAGAAAAAGTTTGTCTTGCGCATAAATTGTATATGAGGTGTCGCAGTATCAATAGGCTGAATGTAACAAGTCTGAAATAAACAGTCAAAGGCAAGATATAAATTAATATGACATAATGAGTTCTACAACGACCATCCGGAAAAACAGTTCACTCAATCACAACTTCACTTTCAGATTTCTTGTCATTAGCGACACCAGTCACAACTTCAATTTCAGATTTCTCGTCATTCACGACACCAGTCACAACTCCAATTTCAGATTTCTTGTCATTCACGACACCAGTCACAACTCCAATTTCAGATTTCTTGTCATTCGTGACATCTTCCTCGTCGAGGATGCGCAGATCTGCATAGTTTCTATGGTTCAAGGAATGCAACCATAGGCCAACAGTTCCTTCCTTATGTTCAGTGGAAGCAATATGAGAATATATGTACTTCATTTTGAACTCCTCAGCTTCTTTCTCGTATGCTTTCATTGACACCTCTTCATGTGTATCTTTCCACTTCTGGTTGTATGAAGTAAAGAAGCACTCATCCAAATATAATCCAACCTCCGGCGCAGTAGGCACAGTGATGCTAACTTCCCTGCATTTTTCGGAGGAAAAAATCAAAACAAAAACGTCAGATGATTGTCACACAATTTCAAATACAAAATTGGAGATAAACTATTTAACATTAACAGTACTCACTTTTGCATAGCTTTATCGATAAGTGACTCTGGTGCAACATTTCTCATGATTGCCACAGCAAGCCCCATCATCTTCCGTATCTGATGAAGCATGAAGCTCTGGCCTACAATCTCACACTTCACGAATTCCATGCCGTCAACTACAACAGTGGTGCTTGCGTCGAAGGAAATAATGAAACGGTGAGCAGAAGGATCCTCAGGTTTTATTCTAGTCGTGAAGTTATGGAAGTTATGAGTCCCAACATAATACTTCAAAATCTTGTTAAATCTTTCCCTCTCCTTCTCACCATAAGTAAAGACGCTTTTTTTGACAGGCGTATCCTCTCCGTTCACTTTTTCTTCCTCGAGAGCACCTGAATTATTCTCAGATCCACCATTTAAAGGAGCAGCCACATCCTGAGCAGAAACCACAGTCTCAAGATCAGTTTTAGCGTTAACTTCTTCAAGTAAAACCTTACCCTCGTCGTGATTAATGGATTCTTTATTTAAACCATTTTCATCCTTGATGCTCAAAGAAACCTCCACATTCTCGGTAACTCCAGAGTTAACCACAACATTTCTGTCTGATAACCCATTGGTCTCACCATTCACAGCTTCTAGCTCAAGATTGCGCTTACTATTACCAACCAAACCTTCCACCTTTCGACCTCTCTCAGAACACTCCAAACACTTAACAAGCTCATTTTCAGACCCTAAACTAGCCAAAACAGTCTCTCTATCACGATGACAACACGGATCAAGAGCAAACACGGGGACGAGGTAAACATACCTCCTCCGGTCACAGAACTTCTTGGCACTAAAAGAAGCCGTCACCCGCTTAAAACCAAAGATCCGTATCTGCGAAGGAAGGTTCGAATTAAGACGCTCAACAAACCCAGGTGGATCAATATAGAATCGACCCGAGACAACCTGTCCAACAGCACTAACTCCTTTATCAGTTCTAGCAGACCGAGCCCAGTCATAGCGTTTAGAAAGTCCACGATCCTGTTCAGGTACAGCTCCAGACACATACAAGGCTTCTTCTAGTTCACCTTCAATAGTCTTTGCACCAGGGTTTTTCTGCATACCCTGATAACCAACACCGCAGTAAGCAAAGAAAATAGCCACCTTACGACGCTTGTATCTTATCTTAGTTCCTTCAGCAGTTGTGCATTGTTCATCATCAGAAGTAGTGGTAGACATCTTCACCTTCTTGGGCTCGGGCTCTTCCGCAGCAACAGACGGCGATGGACGCAGAGATGAAGTTGAACTTATCGGAGTTTTATCTGAGTTTTCCATTATTATTTATAAGCGATAAGAATCCAATGCGACAAACCTAAACGACAGTTTGATATATTAATACAAATAAAAACAGATCCTAAGTTATACTACACTACAGATTCTTCCACAATATTCAAGTTACATAGAATTACAGATTCAGTTTCTTTCATCAATCAACTCTTAATGAATTCGTGTAAACAGTATCGTTCTAGTTCTAAAATGAGGGGAACTGTAGCATCGATATAACGGTTGAACCAAACAACGCATACAGAGATTTTTATGAAATTCTAACAACTAAGTGTATATTTTCAACAAAAAAAAGAACATAGAATGAAGTAAAGGTAGTTTGAAGAAGAAGAAGAAGTATTACCAGAGGCGGAGAAGAAGCAAAAGAATGCACCAACGTAAGACAATGGTCGGGGGAAACTGAAAGAAGCAAAAAAAAAAAAAACCTTAAAACCCTCGTTTCGTAATCACATGAATCACAACTGAAACTCCTACATGAAACGAAGTGAGTGTTTTTTTTGGGCCCCCGATTTAAACGGATACGGGTTTCGGACACGTGAGAATTTAACCTGACACTAATTTATACTTGACACCCCCACATTCATTGAATTGACTACAACACCCTTCCCAACTTTTAAAATATTTTTTCAATTTACTCTAGTTTTTTGCATTTATCAAAAGTTTTTGAGTGGTACTGAAAATTTCACAATTCATATAGGAAATTTCAAGAAAAGTAAGTTTGTTTTCCAGGTTTTATGAGTTTTTATCGGAAGTTTTAAATTTTATAGAATTCATTTTGAAAATGTCGATATAAATGTATGAGTTTTTATCGGATATTTCATAATTGTTAGTATTTAATCATACATTGATATCGGAAATTTTGAAAATATCAGTAGTTTAAATTTTTTAAAATTATACCAGAAATTTTTAAAATGTTGGTATTTCAATTTTTTAACTTAATACCAGAAATTTTGAAAATATTGATAATATTTATAGAATATCGAAAATTTTTAAATTGTCGGTAGTTCGTTGATTTTAAAATTTTTCCATTTTGCAGTGAAGAATAGGGAAAAGGACGACATTATTGCAGGCAGGATCACAAATAGAGAGGCAGCTCGTGCTAGGGCTGCTGAGGCAGAGTCTTTGCAGCTACAGACTGA